TCCATGGATCCATGGGTCTCTCTCTCTGTCCAGTATGTGTATGTTCGTTACCCCGCCTGTGCTCTCCAACGGCTGCCCATGCCATCTGCGGGGTGCCATCTGGTGAGTGTGATGTAGTGGGTGACTAAGTGGGACAGTTAGCCAACCTGTTCCATGTTCTGTACCACTGAGTCAGCACATCCCTCTGCTGATTGGCTTCTACTCTGGTTTAGCCAATAGGATGTCAGCTACAGATGTTGCATCAGTAGATGTATCATACCATCGTAGGCAGTGTGCATGAATCAATAGCCCTGTTTATGTCTGCCGGTAGCATGTATCCTTCGTCCTCCTGATCTTTACCTGATTTCGTCTGTTTACACATAAGATCTGATCACAATGCGTATTTGTATCATCTACACTAAAAATGTGGGCACAATCAGAATGTGGACAAGATCAGGACAAAGGCTGCATGTTAGAACCAGGTATAAACAGGACTAGAATAGGCTCATATGGTTAGCTGCATAAAAGTGGTGTTGTCTTGTCTGAACTTGCTTTGGTCTAATCCACTCCTATACCCTGAGTGTCTGAATAATGTGTGGTTTATCTGCTGCAGTAAGGATATGTTTATGACTCCCTGTTTGTCACCTCAGTGAGAGGGAACAGAGAGTATGAGGGTGGGAATGGCAACTCCCAATGTTATGTAACCCGGTCCCCAACCGCCCTACTGTACTGTATGTGGGGAATGACAGCGGACACAGAGACAGACAGACAGACAGGCACACATGCAATTTGAACACTTCCAAAGCACAATGTTCTTCTAATTGATCCAATTAACACAGCATTTTCGTTAATCATTCATCCAACCCGTGTGAATAGTCCAATCTACCAGATCTGGGCTTCCATAATGGGAGTATGGCACATGTTGTAACAGCCCGGTCAGCTATTGTACCATTGTCTGTCTGTGGAGCAGAGGGGCTTTGTTCACCCAGCGTGTCTGATATGGGTGGCAGAGAGCTTTGTGCTCATCAGCTGCTCTGCTCTGCCTCTGTTGGTTAGCTCACACCACACTCTGCAACTTCAGCAAAGTGCAGGACAGAGGAAAGGGGGATGAATAGACAGCAGTGGAAAAAATGAGGAGGGAGCGGAAGTGAAGGGATCAGAAGGCAGTGTATGACAGGAGCTGCTGTGGAGATCTAATTCCCCTCTCTGGATGATTTCAAACCCAGAAAAGCACATAATCTTATGGCAGAACAGTTGTCAGGAATCAAAGAATCAGGCCTCGCTGCCAATCATGAGCTGCTTTTGGGGCTAAGCCCCCAGTGATTTTCTTTGAGCCTCAGTGAGGGAAAATTCTACCCTATCAAATAGAACAGATGAAGTCTGCCTCTAAGATGAAATGTTTATGATTAATTATATTTACCAACTGAAATCTCAGGAAAACAGATAGGTTGTTATCTAAATGGTTTCTGTCTGGTCCACAGGTTCACAATGGAGATCAGGCAGAACAGAACACATTCATCCTTTGCAGTGAGAAGAGCGAATCCAGCCCCACTGTGTGTGTGTCATTAAACACACAGAAGCCACCACAACCGTCCTCTAGATGTTTTGGTTTGATCATAATGACATCATCAGATACTAATAAGAAGTCCATATACGCAGTGTCCTGACTATGTTTCTCAAACACCTGCTCTGTAATAGAAGCATATATGACATTATGACCATTTCTGGTCTACAGTACCATTGTCCCCTCTCCCTTTGGGATGCTGGGAAAGTCATGAATAGACTACACTAATTAAATCAATTTGTTTCTATAATTATCTCTGGTCATTTTCTAAACCTGGGAAGCTGTCCCAACTGATATTTGTCCCATTAGCTTTGCTCAAGGTCCTGAAGAAGACAATGTGTTTGAGGGAGCTATGGAGGAATGTCCATATCGACACCAGACACAAACCAGGCTCGTCCCACTATCATTATGCTTGTGCAAAAAGAAAATGGAAAAATACAAGTATTTTGCATGATGACTATCCCCAAAGCATTATCTAAGCTTGGAGTTGGATATTTGAAGAGCACCATTGGAGCAGGGCATTCTCTCTGCCAAGAGTAGTTATTGGGAGAACTAAAATGGCCTTGTGACATTTTTTTATTATCAATGTAAATGATGACATACTCTTTATTAATAAGCAACTCCATCTGAGGTTTTATTAGAGATATGTACTGACCACAGCACTGAACTGGTGAAACTCTGGCTTGAGGTCTGATCCTCTAAGGTGGATGTAAGCTCCTCTGTTGCCCATCTGATCACAGGGACACTTTAACCCTGATTACACAAATGTCACCAGTATCCCTGACATTGGCACTGATATTGACCTTGTAGTGTATATCTATTTTATATGACTTAGTATTACTGCATTGTTGAGGAAGAGCTTGCAAGCAAGCAACCATTTCACTATACTGTTTACATTGGCTGTATCCTGTGCTGTAGCACGTGACAGAGAAACTCTGATTTGGGATAGGGAGGGAGAGAAAAAGAGGAAGAACAGACAAGAATGTTAAAAACAATATGCAGGGTCACATTTGATGGGAGATTCCCAGAGGTGGAAAAAGTACCCAATTGTCATACTTGAGTAAAAGTAAAGATACCTTAATAGAAAATGACTCAAGTAAAAGTGAACGTCACCAAGTAAAACACTACTTGAGTAAAAGTCTAAATGTATTTGGTTTTAAATATACTTAAGTATTTAAAGTAAAAGTATAAATAATTTCACATTTATTATATTAGGCATACCAGAAGGCACCATTCTTGTTTATTTATTTATTTACATATAGCCAGGGGCACACTCCAACACTCAGACATCATTTACAAATGAATCATGTGTGTTTAGTGAGTCTGCCAGATCGGAGTTAGTAGGGATGACCAGGATGTTCTCTTGATAAGTGCGTGAATTGGACCATTTTCCTGTCCTGCTAAGCATTCAAAATGTAACGAGTACATTTGGGTATTAGGGAAATGTATTGGAGTAAAAAGTACATAATTTTCTTTAGGAATGTAGTGAAGTAAAAGTAAAAGTTGTCAACAATATAAATAGTAATGTACAGATACCCAAACAAACTACTTAAGTAGTACTTTAAAGCATTTTTACTTAAGTACTTTACACAACTGTAGATTCCATAGAGTCCGTAGTCTAGCATGGTATGAGTTGCAGTGGCCTCTATACCATACCATGCATATGAGCACAAAGCATGGCCCATGTCTCACTCGCCCCAGTTCCCATCAACTATACAATTAACCACATGATGGCATACATAAAAACACAGATGTTACTGTAACATTCCAACATTCAATTGTGTCAACCAGACCACCCAAAAACCACCCATAGCCCTCTATGTTCATAGATATCAGAATTGTAGAGGGGTAAGTATAGCCAATGACTTGCTTTCTGCAAGTGGCCATAACACACTGCATCCCCCGTGGGCGCCACCAGCCTAGTTAACTTGATGTTAGATGGTTCCTCACCCTGAAGTAGGTTGATATTTATTGTCATGGGTCTTGTCCAGGAGGCAGAACTGAGCAATTTCCCTTTAGATAGGCCAGTTGCAAAGTCAAAATTGGCTATATTGAAAAAATTGATGAAAACCTTTTTGGTCTTCATTTAAGGTTAGCCATTAGGGTTAGCAGTGTGGTTAAGGTTAGGGTTAAGGTTAGGTTTAAAATCAGATTGTATGATTTTGTGGCTGTGCCAGCTAGTGACCACTCTGCAGAGCTGTCTCCAGAACAAGATTCACAACAAAAACATTAACCTGCAAGTCATCTATGTGCCAGGAGAAACTAATCCATGGTTGACATGGGTCTATATCACATCCTTGTTATTGCAGTTGAAACAAACTGACCTGAGGTGGTGGTGGTTGTAGGCCTAGAGGAGCATGGATGTTGGGCTCTCCCCAGCTGAGCTGGGTGTTTCCATTCTATATGAGTGAAAATAAACTTGAACTTTTTACTTGGTACATATGAATAGGAATGAGTAGACGTTGTCATTTCTTAAAACATGTACACTCTTGTTTGCTATAAACAAAATACAGGTAGTAGTTTTGACAGAGACACTAACATGTCTAACATAGCCCTCTATGTTTGTCGATATCATAATTGTAGAGGGTAGGTATGGCCAATGACTTACTTTCTGAAAGCAGCCATAACACACTGCATCCCCCAGGGGACGCCACCAGCCTAATTTTGTAATAGTGTTTTTATTGGAATTTCAGTTTTACATTTTACATTTACATTTTAGTCATTTAGCAGACGCGCTTATCCAGAGCGACTTACAGTTTTCTTCAACATTAAGATACAATAAAAAGATAAAATAACAATTACAATAAAGTAAAACAATTAATAATAATGAACAACAGAATAAAATGAAACACTCAAGCTCAGTTTAAATAGAGTAATTAGGCCCAATACATGGAACGTACAGAGATCGGCCTCAGCGACAATTATTTGAATAATTCAATGGATGTTTTGTGCGCAAAGGTGATGACTAAAGGGTCCTAAAAATGTTGACTTCTATGGGGTCGTCTATGGGAATTGTCTTTCTGGGCCGTACTTCAGTTGAACTGCAGTACCGAAAGTGCCCTCTGGTCCAGTGGAAAGTGTGCCACTAGATCGGATGCCCCCTGGTAAAGAAAGGAGACATCTCACTTTTTCTGGGCCCTCTCTCTCATGAGAATGCCACAGATTATAGAGGAAAGGAAAGGGAAAGGGGGATGCCAAGTGTGCAAAGCTGTCATCAAGGCAAAGGGTGGCTACTTTGAAGAATCTCAAATCTCAAATATATTTTGATTTGTTTAACACTTTTTTGGTTACTACATGAGTGTTATTTTATAGTTTTGATGTCTTCACTATTATTCTACAATGTAGAAAATAGTACAAATAAAGAAAAACCCTTGAATGAGTTGGTGTGTCCAAACTTTTGACTGGTACTGTATATTTTTATTTCAACTTATTTGAAAAGAAATAGAGAATTACTTAAGAAAAGTGCAAGGGTGCCAATATACTTGTATGATTATAATATAAATGTAAATAAGAAATGCATCATTTTTACAATTTTGTACACATTTTGAGCAATTATTTTATTATAAATCAGTTCCACTATTAACATTATGTAAATGTCATGTAATATAATTATAATGGTGTGACAGAGTATAAAAACACAACTTTGCCATCCAGTGAAAACAATAACAGGTATATTTTTGGCAAAATTCTTTAAAATAACTGTCCAATGAAAATCTCGTTTTTTAAATAAAAATGTTTAATCTCATTTTTAAAAGCTCATATTCTGTTTGCTCATACCAAATAATGTTGTTGACTCTTCATTTACCAGCAAAACCATTTTAATTCTATATATTTTGCCAATATTTTTGAAGGGTGGGGAGCCTCCAATCTTTTTAAGAGACTGGGTCTTTGTGCTGCCCCCCTGGCTCCTGCTTCAGTAGGAGAGAGATCAGTCCCTCTTTTTGTTTGTCTGATAGTTTTGCATTTATATCAGAGTAATTAAAACATGACAGATCTTTCAGTAGTTTATAAAAAGTATATCTCTATTGGAATGCCACCGAGGCCAGGGTTTTTCCCCATCTGAAAATAATCAATTGCCAACCAAAGTTCGTCCTGTGTAATTAGGCCTTCACAATATATTTTTTGTGTCGCAGATAGTTTAACATTATTTTTTGGGAGAAGGATATCACAAAACTCATCATCAAGTGAGGTTGGAGGAACATTCAAAATCTCCTTTGGTGAGATAAGGATTTCTCCATCGTTTGTAACAATTTTTCTGTTGGTTCTTTTTGGTTGGGTTTCTATATTGAATTTGCTCTGGGTTTGAAAGCATTATTATTATGAAACCCGGTCTTTCCTGAATAAGTTCCTCAAACTCCTTTTGTTTTTGTGTCTAGATTATTCAGTGCTTCTGTAGAACATTTATCAACACCATTGATGTGTAATGTTAGATTTCCTATTTCTGTTGTAAGTATTTTCTCTGTTGTCCGATACCGGTTTGGGGATGAAAATTGAATTCAATGGCCTCTAAAGTTACATTAAAAAGGCATCCTGTGCGATAAGTGGGTTTACTGAACCTGTATTGTGCAAGAAGAAGTCTGTTAAGAATTCCTTACTTTTTGTTAAGAAAGTACTGTCAGTCAATAAACCCTGATTAAATGTCCAATATCCCCGTCCTCGTGGAAAGTCTGTCATAGTTATATGGAGGGATACTGTATAAGTTGATGAGCTGATTGCATTCGATCCTCAATCAATGGACAGGTACTTTAAAACATTTGTCCCAAAAAAATATAAAATGATTTAAAATATACCATACAGTGAGCTATATTATAGATATACTGTATCAACATTCAGATCTCAGTCCATTGCTCAGCAGATCTTCATGACGAGCCTATTCCAACAAGTAGTGCCACCAAAAAGGATATATTTCCAAGGAAAAACAAGACCAGCAGTAACAACTCCATTCTTGTCTGGGGGAGAAATGAAAAGTCAAATACAGCCGTGTCAGACAAAATAGTTGTTAAGAATGAGCCACTTACTAATTCACTGACACAATAAGTACATTTAAATGTGTGGGATTAAATGGTGGGATTGAGCTTACTGATTCAGAAGCACTCTCTGCTTGATCTAGAAGAACAACCAAAGTTATTTTGAAGTATTTTCAAAGAAAATATAAACCTGCGCACTTTTCTTGCTTGTTTCACTTTGTTTATTCAAGCTTACGTGTCGGCCTCTTGTCCTTCGTCAGAGCTTTTGACGTATGCCAAGAGGCCGACAAAAGTTATACATGGCAGATAAATATTTCCTTAACAGATCCACAATAAGAGGTTATTCAATGTTATAGGGGCCTATATATCATCAACCTGAATTTAACTAAATGAAGATCGATATCATTATGTAGTTGATCTCACCATTGCGCTTCCATCGCATGTGGAATTCTAGCAGGATGTACAGCGTTGCCTCCCATCCAACAAACCCTCCCATCACCTTCAGAAGCCAATTATCCTCAGAGGTGTTAAAATACGACAGCCCAGTGAATATGGCTGCCACTGGAAGAAAATGTCAACACAATCACTAACATGGTCGTAGAGCAAGAACAAACATGTTTGACAGATATTGGCTGAGAAGATACGGTACTTTGTACTATGCCAATAAAATCCAACAAAAACAATGTCATATGTCATGATCACAGTTCCTTACCAGCTAAACCTTTTATTGCCACTGCATTCAAAGCATGCGACCAATTGAAGAGGAATCGCCTGTGAAAAAACAATAACACAAAAAGAATACATTAACTTCTTGAGAAAACAAGCCACTTTTGGATTTACATACACATGAGCAAACTCACATACAGTAGGTATGATTCTGGATCCCTTACCAGTGATGGTGAGGTCCACATCGGAACATGGCAGCGATTGGCTGGAAGAAGGCCAGGATCATAACGATGCAGCCCAACACAGGATGGGCGCCCTATAAACACACTGGGCTCATAAACTGTATCTCGTAACTACCGTATTTCAATTATCTGAGCCTTCCATAATAGAGTAGGTTTTATAAAACTGTAAACGGCACAGCATTTGTCAGATAGGTTTGTTTGTTTTAAATAACAATCGGCGCGCAGTAAAGGTTTATGATACATACCCCACTCCAGCCTCCAACTTCTGAGAAGGCCAAAATGAAGGCAATGATGGTGGCAGCAACAGTGAGTGTCATAAGAGACACGTGCGCCTGAGGAACATGCAAGCCAAGCGTACAGATTATGTGGCATTATTGTTTAGTTCTAAGAACATTCCACCTAATAAAGTCATCTAGTCGTGCTAATGTTTATGTTCCTATTCTTACAGTTGAAGTCGGAAGTTTACACACACCTTAGCCAAATACATTTAAACTGAGTTTTTCACAATTCCTGACATTTAATCCTAGTAAAAATTCCCTATCTTAGGTCAGTTAGGAATACCACTTTATTATAAGAATGTGAAATGTCAGAATAATAGTAGAGAGAATTATTTATTTCAGCTTTTATTTCTTTCATCACATTCCCAGTGGGTCAGACGTTTACATACACTCAATTAGTATTTGGTAGCATTGCCTTTAAATTGTTTAACTTGGGTCAAACGTTTCGGGTAGCCTTCCACAAGCTTCCCACAATAAGTTGGGTGAATTTTGGCCCATTCCTCCTGACAGAGCTGGTGTAATTTAGTCAGGTTTGTAGGCCTCCTTGCTCGCACAAGCTTTTTCAGTTCTGCCCACAAATATTCTATAGGATTGAGGTCAGGGCTTTGTGATGCCCACTCCAGTACCTTGACTTTATTGTCCTTAAGGCATTTTGCCACAACTTTGGAAGTATGCTTGGGGTAATAGTCCATTTGAAGACCCATTTGTGACCAAGCTTTAACTTCCTGACTGATGTCTTGAGATGTTGCTTCAATATATCCACATCATTTTCCTTCCTTATAATTCCATCTATTTTGTGAAGTGCACCAGTCCCTCCTGCAGCAAAGCACCCCCACAGCATGATGCTGCCACCCCCATGCTTCACGGTTGGGATGGTGTTCTTCGGCTTGCAAGCAACCCCCTTTTTTCTCCAAACAATGGTCATTAAGGCCAAACAGTTCTATTTTTGTTTAATCAGACCAGAGGACATTTCTCCAAAAAGTACGATCTTTGTCCCCATGTGCAATTGCAAACCATAATCTGTTTTTTTTATGGTGGTTTTGGAGCAGTGGCTTCTTCCTTATGTCGATATAGGACTTGTTTTACTGTGGATATAGATACATTTGTACCTGTTTCCTCCAGCATCTTCACAAGGTCCTTTGCTGTTGTTCTGGGATTGATTTGCACTTTTCGCACCAAAGTACGTTCATCTCTAGGAGACAGAACACGTCTCCTTCCTGAGCGGTATGACGGCTGTGTGGTCCCATGGTGTTTATACTTGCGTACCATTGTTTGTACAGATGAACGTGGTACCTTCAGGCGTTTGGAAAATGCTCCCAAGGATGAACCAGACTTTTGGTCTTGCTGAATTATTTTGCTTTTCACATGATGTCAAGCAAAGAGGCACTGAGTTTGAAGGTAGGCCTTGAAATACATCCACAGGTACACCTCCAATTGACTCAAATGATGTCAATTAGCCTATCAGAAGCTTCTAAAGCCATGACATCATTTTCTGGAATTTTCCAAGCTGTTTAAAGGCACAGTCAACTTAGTGTATGTAAACTTCTGACCCATTGGAATTGTGATACAGTGAATTCTAAGTGAAATAATCTGTCTGTTAACAATTGTTGGAAAAATTACTTGTGTCATGCACAAAGTAGATGCCCTAACCGACTTGCCAAAACTATAGTTTGTTAACAAGACATTTGTGGAGTGGTTGAAAAACGAGTTTTAATGACTCCAACCTAAGTGTATGTAAACTTCCGACTTCAACTGTATCTTTAAATGTTTCATATTGTTGTTGCATTGTCGAGAAGGAACCTGCAAGTAAGCATTTTGTTGGATGGTGTATACCATGTGTATCCTGTACATACGACTAATAAAATTTGAAACTTGCTTGCTTAACAGTATAGCTCCTCGCAAACACAAGTGACCGCCTGCTTGACACACTCTCCCAGTCACTCTCTATGTAGAAAAGGCACCAATTCGATAGCAGTGAATACATTTCAAGCTGGGGAGGGTGGTTTACGGTCAAATCTAACTTTGTTACACTAACACATTAGGGACAGTATTATAGAAACTCACCAGAAACCAAACATCTTTCCCAAAATGATGTTTCCCCTTGGCCACACCTTTCAGATACCTGGCTATGATCATTCCCAAACTACCTGTGGTCATCCACGCTATCAACATCAAGGAACCTGAAGCACAACAGGATAATAAATCATCAATAATCCAAAATCAATTTAAAAATCAATAAGCTTGTATATAGTTAGAATCAGTGTATTACCGTATAACAATATGTTTGAGGTTATGCATACAAACTTCTGACTAGGGAATCGGCAACCTTACCATGCGCTTTAATAATGGGTGGCTCTTTTTGACTTGTAGCAACTTGAGGACTTGAAATATCCACTTTAGTGGCACTGATGAAGTTGCCAGTATGAAACCCGATTATCCCTGTCAAAGTAACCGAAGAGTGAAATAGAATAAGAATAATATTATATATAATAGAATAATATTATGAAACATACGACTGCTAGACTGAAGCAGACTGCTTTCTTCATTGGTACTAGGCCCAAAATATTTTAATTAAGCAATAAGGCACAAGGGGGTGTGGTATATGGCCAATATACCACAAAGGGCTGTTCTTATGCACGACGCAACGCGGAGTGCCTGGATACAGCCCTTAGCCGTGGTATATTGGCCATATACCACAAACCTCAGAGGTGCCTTATTGCTATTATAAACTGGTTACCAACGTGATTAGAGCAGTAGAAATAAATGTTTTGTCATACCCATGGTATAACGGTCTGATATAACTACGGCTGTCAGCCAATCAGCATTCAGGGCTCGAACCACCCAGTTTATCATTCTTATTAGATAACAGGGCCCGTATTCATACAATATCTCAGAGTAGGAGTGCTGATTTAAGATCCCTTCTTCCATGTCCATGTAATGTCACTCATTATTATCTAAAGGGTAGAACTGATCTCAGATGTCATAGCACTATGTAAATAAAATGACAGACGGATACAACCACTTCCTCTGTATCATTACTGGTGCTACTATACTGTAAGCATTTGGCTCATACTGTACCATTACTGGTGGGCCCGTGAACGATCATGAGATAGTAGAGGGAACTGGACCCTACAGATCGTTGAGTTGAGATGGGGTTCCTAGTCGTGAAGGAACAGCTAATGATATTATTATTCACTGAGGATTTAACATCAGAAACATTTCCCTAGAAAAGGACAAACAAGAGACATTTGTGTCATTACCAATTGTTTTGTGATTCATTATAGCATCAGGGTTGGGGGTACATTCCATTTCAAATCAGGCAAATCAGAACGTAAACTGTAATTCCAGTCCTAATTCCAATTGCTATCATCCTCTTTTCTTTTTATTGGGATTGGGATTGACCCCAAACCTGAAAACACGTCATTCATATGTCATAATAGCAAGCAAGTACCAGAGGAAGTATCTCCGGTCTCCTCCTTCCTGTTGAAAAGGCGTGTTGCAATTGGATGAACCCGCCACTGTCCCGTCCACAAATATAGATGTCATCATTTCCCTTATGTGAAGCAGAGGAAAACAGATTATGAGAAGAACACAATCAACCCTGCCACAGGCTACTTGCAGGTGCAGGGTACAAAAAAATAAAAGTTACAAAAGAAAAATTGCACACTGTTGAATGCTCCTTACTGCCTTCCACCTGCCATCATACAATCCTTCTTCATCATTCAAAAAATAAACTTGTTCACCGTTTTCATTGAAGTGAAAGTATCTGGATGAGTGCCTCAAAATTTGAATAAGTATATTCAATAGTAGGATGTTTATGCACTACTTCTGAAAAGGTTGAAGGCTGCATTACCATCCTCTGGTCATCTGAGAAGCCGATGGCGATGTAGCCATCTGAAGGGCCGGTCATCTCCAACTGGACGGCTGTATCACCGGGAGAGGTCATAGCAGACAGGAAGTAACAGTCTGGGCTGACCCCAGGGTCACAGTTCAAAGGTTGGCTGAAAACAGACCTTACTGCTGCCACATCCAGTGCTGGAGTTGGACAACTATTACAAACATATTCAATGTTATTGTAAAGCACTTTGGGACAACTGATGTAATAGTGTGTAAAAATAAATGTCATTGTTTGATTGAAAATGTAATATGACAATATTGTCAGAGAGTGAACGGCAGGTAGACTTAGCGTTAGAGCATTGGGCCAGTAACCGAAAGGTTGCTAGTTCGAACCCCCGACCCGACAATGTGAAAAATCTTTGAGCAAGGCACTTAACCCTAATTGCTCCAGGGTCGCCGTCACACTTGTACAGGTTACCCACTTCTACATGCAATGAAACAAGACAAATATAAGCACCCCTTATTTGACATCGTTAAGCCAAGTTGATGTTTTAAATAAAACATATTTGTACTATTATCTATTACCATAAGTACTGAGGATTTCATTGGAAATACTGAGTACGTTTACATGGAGACTAATAATTCGATATTAAACTGATTATGGCAGTAGGCCGAGAATGGCATTAGTCATGTAAACACCTTACTCTGCTTATCTTAAATCGGCGTAAAAGTTCATAATCTAAGTAAGCATACGCTGATTAAAACACCTTGTTTTCTGAGAAATCTTTCAAATTATTAGGACATAATAGTTCCAAAAGGGTTCTGCGGCTGTCCCCTTTTAGGTTCCAGGTAGAACCCTTTTTAGTTCCAGGTAGAACTATTTTGGGTTATATGGAAAGGGTTCTACATGGAACCCAAAATAGTTCTACCTGGAACCAAAAGGGGTTCTTCAAAGGGTTCGCCTATGGGCACAGCCGAATAACCCTTTTAGGTTCTAGATAGCACCTTCTTTTCTAAGAGTGTAAATTTAATCTGCGCATGTGCTAAAACCAGCAGTGCGAGCCTCCCTCTTTTGCACGAGTGAAGGGAGTTAAAAATGTCAGAACTGAGAATCAAATAGGCTTCCCAAAAATAACATGGTCTCTGTGGTAGAACGTTTCTTTTGATTGGCAATTTTCTGCATTTATCAAAGTCCCAACAGTAGCCTGATTTCATCTCCATGAAAACATAATTATTAGGGAAAATGTTTTTCTTGCAAAGCATACAAATGTTTTAATCAAACTATTATATTAATCTGAATATTCACAATAATCATATTATTGTGTGCATGTAATCATACTCACATTTGAGGATGAGGCGAACGAGGTGGTAGAGGTGATGGGTGTGGATGTGCTGTTAGCTGGGGGTACAGCAGTGATGTTGTATGTAACTGGAGAACTTCTCACTCCAACCCAGAAGGTGGAGTAATCTTTTACAAAGGATGCACTGTAAAAATGGCATGGCAGAACAAATACTAAAACAACGTAATAACATTAAGGGATGGATTTTCCATTGAGAGTGTATTTTAGTCAAGAACTTGGCTTAATCTGTGTACAGGAAACCGGGCCCTAGGTTATAAGAAGTGAACATACTGGTTCAGGAGCTAAGAGATCCTGGATGGGTGAATCACCTGAATTGTATGGAGCCGAGGTTGCCTGATGTGGGGGCCCTCCATATTGCCTGGATGGAGGATTTAGATGAATCTGATGTGTGAGAAACTGCAGAATTCTGAGAAAATGAAAAAAAAAAGGATCCATGAAGATGTAGTTATATTCAGATGCAACAGGATGATTCAACACCAGGAAGCCCCAAAAATATTTTGGGTTTCTTAGAGTGTTCTGGCAATTCTCACATATAAACTTCATTGGGAGGGGGGGCCATCATGATGAAAGTGGCCATTTTAGGCACTTTTTAGACCTTCAGTGCATTAGGAAAGTATTCAGACCCCTTGACCTTTTCCACATTTTGTTACGTTACAACCTTATTCTAGAATTGATTAAATTAAATGTTTTCCTCATCAATCTACACACAATACCCCATAATGACAAAGCGAAAATAGAAAATACCTTATTTACATAACTATTCAGAACTTTTGCTATGAGACTCAAAACTGTTTCTATTGATCATGCTTGAGATGTTTCTACAACCTGATTGGAGTCAATCTGTGGTAAATTCAATTGATTGGACATGATTTGGAAAGACACACACCTGTCTATATAACGTCCCACAGTTGACAGTGCATGTCAGAGCAAAAACCAAGCAATGAGGTCGAAAGAATTGTCCGTAGAGCTCCGAGACAGGATTGTGTTGAGGCACAGATCTGGGGAAGGGTACCAAAACATTTCTGCATCATTGAAGGTCCCCAAGAACACAGTGGCCTCCATCATTCTTAAATGGAAGAAGTTTGGAACCACCAAGACTCTTCCTAGAGCTGACCGCCTGGCCAAACTGAGCAATCGGGAGAGAAGGGCCTTGGTCAAGGAGGTGACCAAGAACCCGATGGTCAGTCTGACAGAGCTCTTCTGTAGAGATGGGAGAACCTTCCAGAAGGACAACCATCTCTGCAGCACTCCACCAATCAGGCCTTTATGGTAGAGTGGCCTGAATGAAGCCACTCCTCAGTAAAAGGCACATGACAGCCCGCTTGGAGTTCGCCAAAAGGCACCTAAAGGACTCTCAGACCATTAGAAACAAGATTCTCTGGTCTGATGAAACCAAGATTGAACTATTTGGGCTGAATGCCAAATTTCAAGTCTGGAGGAAACCTGTTACATTCCCTACGGTGGCAGCATCATTATTTCCGTTTTTTATTTTTTTATACATTTGCAAACATCTCTAAAAACCTGTTTTTGCTTCGTCATTATGGGGTATTGTGTTTAGATTGAGGAGGAAAAAAACTATTTCATCCATTGTAGAATAAGGCTGTAATGTAAGAAAATGTGGAAAATGTCAAGGGGTCTGAATACTTTCCGAATGCACTCCTCCTGTAAGACCCCATGATCCGTGAACCATACATGATACAGACAACGTGTCATTATACTCCTTATAGTGTTCTTTAAAATATGGAGTTTGTCTAGATTCTGAAATACAAAAATGTACATGAATTTATTCAACATTAAAAATATGAATATCAATATCTCAAAAGACACACATCTACAAAGAAAGCAGAGTGCTCTCTCACTTTCCAAGGGGCAACCACAGAGCAGGCGCAACTTGGCTGGCTGCCATACATGCCATAAAATGTCAGTCTAAGTTAAACAATGGGGATGATCCATAAAGATCAGTTTTAGGCTAGGCCTACTGGAATTCTTTAGAGTTTTGTTGTTTTCAGTAAAAAAAAACGGACTGCTTGCCCGAAGTCTCAGTTTACTTGCCCCAGGAAATAGGGGAACCCTTAAGGTCCCTGCTACAACCAGGTTTCTGAGTTTTACCTGGTTTTTGCGACTGCACTTGAAGAAACTTTTAAAGTTCTTGACATTTTCCGGATTGACTGACCTTCATGTCTTAAAGTAATGATGGACTGTCATTTCTCTTTGCTTATTTGAGCTGCTCTTGCCATAATATGGACTTGGTCTTTTACCAAATAGGGCTATCTTCTGTATACCAACCCTATCTTGTCACAACACAACTGATTCGCTGAAATGCATTAAGGAAAGAAATTCCACAAATTAACTTTTAACAAGGCACACCTGTTAATTGAAATGCATTCCAGGTGACTACCTCATGAAGCTGGTTGAGAGAATGCCAAGAGTGTGCAAAGCTGTCATCAAGGCAAAGGGTGGTACTTTGAAGAATCTCAAATATAAAATACATTTGTTAAACACTTTTTTGGTTACTACATGACTCCATATGTGTTATTTCATATGAAGATAAAGAAAAGCCCTGGAATGAGTAGGTGTGTCCAAACTTTTGACTGGTACTGTATATATATATGAACCATAGAGATAAATAAAGATCGCAACGTTGTATCTGTCCCATTATGGCGTCTGTGAGCACACGGCAGGGGAGAACGACTGTCCCCTCTCATTGAAGCCACGAAGTTCAAGGCCGACCCCGGTAACGTCACTTCCTGGAGTAGCTCCAACTGCGCATGTTATGAGGCTTCTGGTTTGTTATCGTCCTGGACATAAAGATCTGTTTGGACTGGCTGACCAAGAGGTCATGACGGAGCTGGCCCTGAACTTGGTAAGTTGCTGTCTCCTGGGCACATGTGCATTTAGCCTGAAGACCCAACGTTGAATTGCATGGAATTCTACTTCGGGCAGAAATTAGCATTTGGATCAGGAAAGTTTCCTCTCACGACCTCCACCAGCCAGAATGCTGAATAAAATGATACTTTACCGGTTGTCCGTGTGGTTGGTCCTTTTGCAGGTAGGAATGTGATATCAAATATCCACAGAGTAGTGTTATCAACCCGACCTTCAGTATGCTGGTCTGTATTTCGTTTTTATTTACAGTTTTTATTTTCAATACTGATGCAATTCACACACAACATACACTTGCACAATATGGCCGAGCCGAACTTCCAGCTGATTGCGAGGAAACGTTCCCTCGGTCGACTACATTCAGTTACATTTGGCTATTGTTTACATATTGTGCATCACGTGCAATGCGTCAACAGATTGAAAATATAAGCGACAGAACCTACCGGCGCCGCAAAAAGTTGTGTAAGTTAAAGGATTTCAGACCTGCGTGAGCTGCCAATGGAATCATCAGATACAACCAGAGAAGGTCCGAGTGAGCAGCCGACTGAAGGAGCGGCTGGAGAACTGGTGGAGGGCCCAGAACCACATCCAACTATGGTAGCCTGGAGTGGAGGGACGAAGACATCAAGCAGGAGTTCCGGGGTCTATGACAATCTATCCTCACAGCCCTCACCTATCCCAAGCTGAGCTTGCCAGCCAGAGCCCAAGAATGGGTCTGTCAACACCAAGTCGACTGAGGGATGACGCAGCAGGGACTTCAACCCCACAGCAGGGTTTTCAAGCAGCGATGATGCTAACCTCAACCCCAGCACCAGGAGACCAGTCCAGCAGCACCAACGTCAACCCTCCAGCATTCCTGAGGAAGGAGCCGAAGATGCCGTCGTACAAGCTGGCACTGCAGTACCTCAACATACAAAAAGGGGGCCCACCACGACCTGCAGCATCCACTCCAAGAAGCTTCAGAGACACAAGGGACACCAGGAACACCAAAGATGGTGGAGGTAACTCTGGGGGGTTTGTGTCTGGGAGGAGGGAGGTAAGGGATCGTGCAGTTCATTCAGATGGGAGGGACCTGTTTTTATTGTCAGCAGCAAGGGCACAAAGCTTCAATGTGTCCACTACATAAATCCAAGCTCTCAGGTTACTGTTATGTGCCCAGAGAGGGAGATGGTGTTCAGGATAGGCAGAGTGGGGGAGAGTCAGTCTTGCTACTTGTGAAAGTGAATGGTCAAAGTCTCACTGGAATGCTTGACACTGGTAGTTCCCTGTCTCTGAGGAGGACCTTTGGAAAATCTACATATTAAAAAGTCAAATAAATCCATTTAATATAGCCTACACAATCACAATAAATCCATGATTTATTTTAGGCAGGTCTAAAGAAACATTATGATATGAAGAAAATGTAGTCTATTTCAGAAGAACCAAATGGCATATTCTGAGTCGTCCTTATGTTAGGCCCTGATCTGGAAATGTCATATGGCTGTGGGCTACACTAGTTAATTTAATAATTCCTGTGGCATTATTTTACATTACTTTATAGTAAGAAGAATACAATTGAACATAGCTGAATAAATATAACATATATTTTTCCCAAACGATCAAAGTGATTTGAAACAGGTTCTCCTATATGCTTACTTTCTAGTTAATTATGCAACTTTAGTTGTGATACAAACCTTAGGCTATACAGTGCCTTCAGAAAGTATTCACACCCCTTGACTTTTTCCACATTTTGTTGTGTTACAAAGTGGGATAAACATTTATTTAATTGTCATTTTCTGTCATCGATCTACACAAAATACTCTGTAATGTCAAAGTGGAAGAAAAAGTCTAACACTTGTAAAAGATTCATGAAAAATAAAACACTAATATATCTTGATTAGATAAGTATGCAACCCCCTGAGTCAATACATGTTCGAATCACCTTTAGCAGCGATTACAGCTGTGAGTCTTTCTGGTTAAGTCTCTAAGAGCTTTCCACACCTGGATTGTGCAACATTTGCCCATTATTCTTTTTTAAATTCTTCAAGCTTTGTCAAATGGGTTGTTGATCATTGCTAGACAACCATTTTCAGGTCTTGCCATAGATTTTTCAAGCAGATTTAAGTCAAAACTGTAACTCGACCACTCCAGAACATTCACTGTCTTCTTGGTAAGCAACTGTAGATTTGGCCTTTTGTTTTAGGTTATTGTCCTGCTGAAAGGTGAATTCATCTCCCAGTGTCTGATGGAAATCAGACTGAACCAGGTTTTCCTCTAGGATTTTGCCTGTGCTTAGCTCCTTTACGTAAATGTTTTATCGTGAAAAACTCCCCAGTCCTTAACGATTACAAGCATACCCATAACATGATGCAGCCACCACTATGCTTGAAAATATGGAGCGTGGTACTCAGTAATGTGTTGTATTGGATTTGCCACAAATTTGTATTGAGGACAAAAAGTGAATTGCTTTGCCACATTCTTTGCAGTATTACTTTAGTGCCTTGTTGCAAACAGGATGCATGTATCGGAATATTTGTTATTCTGTACATGCTTCCGTCTTTTCACTCTGTCATTTAGGTTAGTATTGTGGATTAACTACAATGTTGTTGATCCATCCTCAGTTCTCCTATCACAGCCATTAAAGTCTCCTGCGCAGCCGGAGCGGAGCCTGTCTGCATAGCTTGCTCCCCCGCAGCTCACCAGCTGATGTAGGCTGTGTGTGCTGCATCCTTCCCACTGCTGAATAGAACTCAGATCAGAAGCTTCTAAAGCCATGACATCATTTTCTGGAATTTTCCAAGCTGTTTAAAGGCACAGTCAACTTAGTGTATGTAAACTTCTGACCCACTGGAATTGTGATACAGTGAATTATAAGTTAAATAATCTGTCTGTAAACAATTGTTGGAAAAATTACCTGTGTCATGCACAAAGTAGATGTCCTAAACGACTTGCCAAAACTATGGTTTGTTATCAAGAAATTTGTGGAGTGGTTGAAAAACAAGTTTTAATGACTCCAACCTAAGTGTATGTAAACTTCCGACTTCAACTGTATATAGACAGTCTGGTCAATTGCCACTGAAAAATAGGTGTTTGATGAATATTTTAGTCAATATTTTTGTTGACGAAATTAACACTGATCTGCAGTGATTATGCACACTCACATGACTCGCTCTTCTAACACACACACAACCCTACCATAGATAATTATATCCTGCTTCTCAGCCACTTTACCCCTGATTGTATGCATTTAACTACCTCATATATCACCATTATCACTGCCATCATTATATCAGTACATGTACATTCTTGTGTTCTTTCTCTACTGGCATTGACACTTACGTTTTTACAAATATTTACTTTTATATTGACACTTCTATTTTTTTATATTGATACTGCACTGTTAAGGAAGAGCTTGCAAGTAAGCTGAAAGTAAGCATTTTACTGTAGTGTTTACACCTGCTGTATCCTGTGCATGTGACAAATAAACTTTTATCTGATTTGATATAGTGCGTGTTTACATTTACGTCATTTAGCAGACGCTCTTATCCAGAGTGCATACATCATTTTTTTATTTATGTTTGTTGTTATAGGTGTTCGTTGTAATATTTCCATCAACATTAACTGAATATTCCAGGAATGTTTTTTTTTTTTTGAACAACTTTATTGCTCCAACATTTTATTGCTGAAGTATGTTCAGGGAACGTTATTAGAACCACCATGTCATAATGTCACACTATAACTTTATGAGAGCATTGTGGGAATATTCCCTGCTTGTTGTTATGGGTGTTTTTAATAACATCAACTTTAGCTTGAACGTTCCCGTAAAGTTCTCTCAGAACCATTTCTATTGCTCTCACATTTTGTTGCGGCAGTATGTTCTAAAAATATTACTGGTACATTGTATTATTACATTACCTGGAAACCTAATAAGAACGTTTGGGAAATGTTCTGTGGTGATTGTTAGAGATGTTGTGCACAACATTTTAGTGAACGTTAGAACATTCCAAGGATTTTTATTTTATTCTGAAGAAGAAAAAAACATTTTGTTATCAAAAACATTCTTTGACTGTTTTTGGAATGTTATCATGCTAATGTTAGATAAAACCCTAACTAGAACTTAATGAGAATCTTAGCTAAGGTTCTGGGAATGTTCCCGGTTTGCTGGAGGGCCACTAAAATGTTTTTACATTTACATTTTTGTCATTTAGCAGACGCTCTTATCCAGAGCGACTTACAGTTAGTGAGTGCATACATTTAAAAAACATACTGGCCCCCCCGTGGGAATCGAACCCACAACCCTGGCGTTGCAAACGCCATGCTCTACCAATTGAGCTACATCCCTGCCGGCCATTCCCTCCCCTACCCTGGACGATGCTGGGCCAATTGTGCGCCGCCCCATGGGTTTTGCCTGCAAAATGCTAGAAACGTCCCCACACACACACAAACTAATCTCCACCTCCCTGCTCCGTTTTCAGCTACATTAGCAGCAATGTGGGTCGACACACAAGTTAACCTAGCGATCTCAGTTCATACATTTCACACATTATTCTTACCCTCCATTCAGTCACTGTTTGTATGTTTTAAATAATGCTCAGACAAGTGTTCAGGTTTCATTCGAGTGCTATTTATTGTACTTATCTATGTTTTGGATGAGCAATCTGTCTGTTGTTTCAGTTTTTTCTCCGTTCTCTGTAGCTTCCAGGTATACTAGGAAAGGGACCCGAACCAGAGATGGTAGAAAAAGCGAGACATCCCACTCCCTCATTTTTTCTGATCGGGGCAGGGCCACTCTGGTCTATTAAAGCCTTGTTCACACTGCAGGCCTTAACGCTCAAATCTTTTAAAAAAAAATGTGTTTATCCGTTTTGGAATACTGACTGTCCAAACAGCAAGTTAAAAGTGACCAAATCAGATTGTGTGTATTCAGACAGAAGTCATTTGCTGACATGGCTATGCTAGTTGTCATAGTAAAAACGGGTGTGTGCGCAGTGGTGTAGGATGATTGGCGGTGGTGCTCGTCACTCAGAAGTTATTTAGCAAGCTAAGGTGACAATGCCTGCAATGGGCATTTCCCAGTTGACTTGAATGTACAAAATCATAGTGTAAGAACACTTTTAAGGCCTCAAAGGATAAAATAATCCAACTTTCAAAGCAATAATTATTTGGCTAGCCACAGCTGTCAACTAGCTAGCTAGGTAGCTGTTTAGCTTTCTAGCACATTCCCTAATTTGTTTGTAAACGATTAACAAGCTAGTTAGCTACCACGTTCTTGTCAAACTGTCAACAGAGCAGCTAGCAAACAACAAGATATGCCAAATAAGTCTAAAAACCACTTCAGGGCAAATAAATCAGTCGCATGGCCAAGAATCAGATTTGTATCTGACCTACGAAGGTGGTTTCAAATGTGGCTTGAAACATCCTATTTCATGTGCTTTTTGGATGTTCAGACTGCAGGAAAAATAAAAGATTTGAATTGGATATGCATTTTTTTGGGGGGGGGGGAATCACTTTAAACTGCCAATGTGAACAAGACTTTATTGCCCCGGCCCTACGAAGGGGATGCCCCAGAGCAAGACATCTCACTGCTATTCTTTTCAGGTCAATAAGTAGACGAGAGCCAACTGTTCCCTCTCTTATATGAGCATGCTAGATATTATGGAGGAACCCTGAGCTCTCATGGGATAGCATGCTCACAGGAGAGAGGGAACGCCCACTTACACAGACAGGAACATCAAATATTTTTTACAATGGTAAACGTCTTAAGTGAACTATCCTCATTTCTCCACCATTTGTGGCCGAACTACGGCAATCGGGATGGCTTGCAGTGCCTGTCCCAAATTGTGCGTGCATGTGAAGTCACGTTTTGGAACACACACTTTGAGTAGTGGTGTTATGTAAAAGTGATATAGTAATTTGTGTGTTGATCTTTGAGAAGCTGATTGCAAATGTACATTTATGATAATTAATTAAATGATTATCTGTGAACCTTTTAAAGGACATGGAATGTGATACAAAACGAGGCTACGGTGTGCTTTAGGACCATGCAGACGCCTCCGAGCAGTCGGGTAGGCTGTTCGGAGTGTTTATCCGAAGGGATAAAAATACAAATAAAAAATACAAATAAATAACAAAAAAGTTATGTCCCCCCTCCCCTTCTAAAACCAAAGTTGCGCCCCTGGTTATATATAATACTGTAGCTCTCATTACATAACAGAAAAGCAGGCTCCAGATCGGGTGGTAATAGATAGGTGGGAATAAACAGATTTAAATTGAATTATACAGTCTCTATGGGAATAGACTCACAGGTAGTCCGTTGCAGGTGAGTAGCTGGGCCTCTCCACTTGTTACAGTGAAGGATCCCAGAGGACTGCGTCCTCCAACCTCTCTGGCTTGTAACATAAACCCCATGAATGGAGTGGAACCTGCCAGGAGCTTGACTGTAAACAACACAGTGTTTAGTTGATTTAAACACCACCATAGAAAATGGAGACCGTTTATTCATTCCATATCTACTTTTCAGAAATATCTACCCACTAAAACTGTCAAACTGACCCATCAAAGTCAGTGGGCGGGGCTAACGCGAATCTAGTCTGATCCATTGCTTTGGTCTGAAGTAGAGTAGGCCAACCTGGATAGAGACAATGGAGGATCTCCGTGAACTTTCCAGGGAGTTGGTTAGAGACATTTAAAACTTAGCAGAGGATGTAGAAGCAGGACCTGCTGACCCAGAGCATGTAGCTAGTAAAGCAGAGGAACTTATTGAAGGTGAATAGCGCCACCCAGTGTATTGGAATGTGTTCAGTAGCTCTGCATCAATCCATTATCCGGAATTGATTTGTCTTGGCTTGATGCAGAGGGTAACCAATCAGGCGTTAGGTTCCGCCTACCAACTTTTGATGGGTCAGTTTGACAGTTTTAAGTAATTCATGAATCACTGCAATGCAGGATCATGAAATGTAAATGTAAATAGTGAAATAATTATATATGTATTTTACATAAAATGAATCGGTATTAAACAGCCAAACCATAGATGGATTAATAAAACCTATAGTCCTAGTGGTGAGTGTTCAATATATCTGCATGAACCCTGCAGTAATAGAGAAAACTACATGATGTCTCACCTATGATTTCATCGCCCTCCTTGAAGCTGAACCGGTCAGTGGTGACATAGAATGTAGCGGGGCTTTGCTGCGCGCCTATTTTGTGTTGCGGTGTCATATTGTCACAAGCCCCAGTCACCTTTCCGGAGCTGTAGCACTGCACGACCCGCAGAACACACGCCAAAAACATGATGATAAATATGTATCGATCCATTTAGATTAAATTATTAAAACGAAAATTAACTAAGAATAGCCTACTGCTGGAGACCTATGCCGGCAAACTGTGGAGTTTGGGTGAGGGCGGAATTTATATTGAAGTGCCTTGTGGGTGGAGAGTAGACTAGTCTCGACAGGTTATGCTGCGTTCATAACCAAGTGGGATGGTGGAAATGACCTTTTGTGACGTCATAAATACTAGTTGGATGTTTTCACTCCTTGATAAAATGCTGATTGGCTAATGGCCAACTTGGCCAACAAGCTCCGTCAACCATAAACTATCATGCTTGTAAACAAATTATAGTGTTCCAAAACAATATTAATAGATTGCTTTTTAGAAATAATGTTTTGTTGTTGCTTTTAACTGCCGAAAATGCTGTTATCGAGGTAATTTCCTTGACATTAGAGGTCAGCATGTAGTAGAAATCGGCGCTCAGGGATGATGGACGAGTTTCCCTCTAGTAATTACCAGTTGGAGGGGCGTTCAAGTGGATTTCTCCGACTCGTATGTGGTAAATACCACCTTCCCACTGGGTTATGAATGCAGGGTATGACAGGTTGCTTCCATAGAGATATATAGATATCACAGCGTTGTATCTGTCCTATTATGGCATCTGTGAGCGCACGAGCAAAGCCAGAGGCCACCTCCATTTCGAAGTAGTCCATTTTCTTCTACTACCACTTCAATGAGTTGGTAAACAAACTAAGGGTGCATACTGTGTAGCTCAGTTGGTAGAGCATGGCGTTTGCAATGCCAGGGTTGTGGGTTTGATTCCCACGGGGGGCCAGTATGAAAAATGTATGCACTCACTAACTGTAAGTCGCTCTGGATAAGAGCGTCTGCTAAATTACTAAAATGTAAATGTGATACTGCCACCTGGAGTGTGTTGTTTGAACAGGTATAAAGCCAAGGTTGATGATTTACTGCAATTATGGAATGTTTGCTCACAAGTATAATTCATTGGTTGATCCCTTCTGATGACCTGGATGGAATTATGTGATCCTTCCTTAACCTATAGGACAGGGTTCCCCAACTGGCGGCCCCCACAAATCATATTTTTGGGAATTTTCATTATTGGACATAAAAGACTGTAAAAACACCAGGAAATCAGTTCCAAGTGATTTTAATTTAAGAAATATGTTCCAAAGTAGGCCTATTCCCACGCATAATAGAAAGTCGTGATCATATACAAATGTAAACAAGATTTGAAATGATTATGTTTTAGTCAAACATGATTTCTGTTTGGGCTTCTTGCGGTCAATTTGCCGTCTACAAATTATTTGTAATTATGTTCCCACTCCCAGACCATCTGCTCAATAAATAAATCGGCCCATGGCTGAATCTAGTTGATGATCCCTGCCATAGGAATTCCCACCCAGATGACTACTTTCGAAAATGGTGAAAGTCCTCAATGGTGCTGCCCATGCTAAAACTGGCTTTTGGGCATTAGAGGCCTCTATAGAGTACTACAGTATGAGTCATAATACCCATACAATCTAGCGGTCAAACAGGAAAAAGGTTCCAATCGTTTTTCCACCATTCATTTTTCCCATAGGGGAAAATATATTAGAGGACACCGCCCAATGCAATTTCATTAAAGCAGTGTGAACCCCCCTATCAAAAAGAAGGCAGCAACTTCATTTTGGATCCATGTTTACTGTAATGGGGATGCCTTTGTTACATACAGTTATAGCTGTGCACTTAATCCTAATACCTCTTCATTGATTACATTTGAACATTGTCTTCTTTTAGGGTGTGAATTGTTATGGTCAGATTGAATTAAAACAGTTAATTTAAGGGGCAACTCTGCCACTTTTCAACCTCATATTATCTTCAGCACCAAATCGGTGTCTATACAGTATGTGAACATTTCTACATTTTGTAGAAAATATAACGTAAAAAGTTCTACCCGATGACATCATCAAAAGTTAAAACATTTTAAAAACATAGATTTTTCAAACACTATGAGATTCACAGTGACATAAGCCAGACTGGAATATGTTCCGGGATTCTTCCGATGGCATTGAGGAGTACACCACATCAGTCACTGGCTTCATCAATAAGTGCATCGATGATGTCGTCCCCACAGTGACTGTACGTACATACCCCAACCAGAAGCTATGGATTACAGGCAACATCCGCACTGAGCAAAGGGTAGAGCTGCTGCTTTCAAGGAGCGGGACTCTAACCCGGAAGCGTACAAGAAATCCCGCTATTCCCTCAGACGAACCATCAAACTGGCAAAGCGTCAATACAGGACTAAGATCAGGGCTTGCAAACGATTACAGACTACAAAGGGAAGCACAGTCGCGAGCTGCCAAGTGACACAAGTCTACCAGACGAGCTAAATTACTTCTATGCTCGCTTCGCGGCAAGTAGCACTGAAACATGCATGAGAGCATCAGCTGTTCCGGATGACTGTGTGATCATGCTCTCCATAGCCGATGTAAGACCTTCAAACAGGTCAACATTCACAAGGCCGCAGGGCCAGACGGATTACCAGGACGTGTACTCCGAGCATGCGCTGACCAACTGGCAAGTGTCTTTACTGACATTTTCAACCTCTCCCTGTCTGAGTCTGTAGGACCAAAAAGCTCCTTAACAGCTTCTACCCACAAGCCATAAGACTGCTGATTATTATCTATGCATAGTCACTTACCCCTACCTACATGTACAAATTACCTTGACTAACCTGTACCCCCGCACATTGACTCGGTACCGGTACCCCCTGTATATAGCCTTGCATTTCACGGTAAGGTCTACACCTGTTGTATTCGGCGCATGTGACAAATAACATTTGATTTGATTTTTAACCACATATCATAGAAATGCACCGTTTTCACATATGTACAGTGCCTTGCAAAAGTATTTATCCCCCTTGGCCTTTTTCCTATTTTGTTGCATTACAACCTGCATTTTAAATTGATTTTAAATTTGGATTTCATGTAATGGACATACACAAAATAGTCCAAATTGGTGAAGTGAAATGAAAAAAATAACTTGTTTAAGAAAATTCGAAAAAATAAATAACGGAAAAGTGGTGCGTGCATACGTATTCACCCCCTTTGCTATGAAGCCCCTAAATAAGATCTGGTGCAACCAATTACCTTCAGAAGTCACATAATTAGTTAAATAAAGTCCACCTGTGTGCAATCTAAGTGTCACATGATCTGTCACATGATCTCAGTATATATACACCTGTTCTGAAAGGCCCCAGAGTCTGCAACACCACCAAGCAAGCGGCAACATGAAGACCAAGGAGCTCTCCAAACAGGTCAGGGACAAAGTTATGGAGAAGTACAGATCAGGGTTGGGTTATACAAAAATATCAGAAACTCACCAAAACTCTAGGACCAGGCAAGGAGGGCATTAATCAGAGAGGCAACAAAGAGACCAAAGATAACCCTGAAGGAGCTGCAAAGCTCCACAGCGGAGATTGGAATATCTGTTCATAGGACCACTTTAAGCTGTACATTCCACAGAGCTGGGCTTTACGGAAGAGTGGCCAGAAAAAAGCCAATGCTTCAAGAAAAAAATTAGCAAACACGTTTGGTGTTTGCCAAAAGGCATGTGGGAGACTCCCCAAACATATGGAAGACGGTACTCTGGTCAGATGAGACTAAAATTGAGCTTTTTGGCCATCAAGGAAAACGCTATGTCTGGCACAAACCCAACATCTCTCATCACCCCGAGAACACCATGTTTTTCATCGGCAGGGACTGGGAAACTGATCAGAATTTAAGGAATGATGGATGGCGCTAAATACAGGGAAATTCTTGATGGAAACCTGTTTCAGTCTTCCAGAGATTTGAGACTGGGACGGAGGTTCACCTTCCAGCAGGACAATGACCCTAAGCATACTGCTAAAGCAACACTTGAGTGGTTTAAGCGGAAACATTTAAATGTCTTGGAATGGCCTAGTCAAAGCCCAGACCTCAATCCAATTGAGAATCTGTGGTATGACTTAAAGATTGCTGTACACCAGCGGAACCCATCCAACTTGAAGGAGCTGGAGCAGTTTTGCCTCGAAGAATGGGCAAAAATCCCAGTGGCTAGATGCACCAAGCTTATAGAGACATACCCCAAGAGACCTGCAGCTGTAATTGCTGCAAAAGGAGGCTCTACAAAGTATTGACTTTGGGGGGGGGGTGAATAGTTAAGCACGCTCAAGTTTTCTGTTTTTTTGTCTTATGTTTGTTTCACCCCCCCAAAAAAATTTGCATCTTCAAAGTGGTAGGCATGTTGTGTAAATCAAATGATACAAACCCCCCAAAAATCAATTTTAATTCCAGGGGGTGAATGCTTTCGCAAGCCACTGTATTCCCCGGTTTGGTGCTGGAGATAATGAATATGTTGAAAAGTTGCGGAGTTGCCCTTTAACAATGCTGTTTATACATCTTGTTGACATTAATCCAAGGACACCTTGACTTGCATTACACACCCTCACTGCAGAAACATTATAGAAAAAGATTCCTGTAAATGCAACCTGCTACAAGTAGGAAAAAAGTTATGGACATAATAGAAATGTGACATATCTCTTTGACAGTGACCCTGAATGATGAATGTGTGAACTACTTTGTCATCTCTTTGGCTAACCACAAAGGGACATTCTAATCTTTAAAGGCATCTAATCTTTAAGGCAGAACAGGTTTAAGCAAAGTATAGTGCCATTGTTTTCAGGAGGGACAGGAGGCGGACTACTGATACTGCACTCTCCTTTGTATGACCTTAAAACTACATGGGTAAAGCAAAAGAAAAGTGCACTATCTAAAATCTAAATGTGTTTCTCCGACTTTATTGGCTGTTATGGTGTGTGTCATGATCAGGAAGATCCGAACTTGGAACCCGATAGAATATCAAGGCAAACCGTAGTAAGCAGTCAAAACATGGTGGAACAAAGCCAGAGTGCAGTAACTTCATTTAGTAACTTCACTTACTGCTGTTTTCCTTGGTTTTTCCTTGGAATTTGTAGTTACTGCAAATTTGACACTCAATTTTCTCTAAAATGGAAGATAATTGAACCAGGACACTTTGTCACAAGATAAAACAGAT